CCCCCCAGTTCACGCCCAGCACGTACAGCAGTCACCGATGAGAGTCCTGATGTATGGTGGTCTGCTGTGATATACGAAAGGTTTGCGTGAGCAAGGGAGTGGCGTGTGGATGCGACCATGTGTACTCGAGTGTATGTGGGAGATACCAGGAGGTGGGTGTGTAGAAAACGGGAGACGGTGGTTGAAATATGTGTGTTCCACAGAAGCCTTGATGATGTCAGCGGTCTCTTCGCCCCGTTGAGAAAAAAAAAACCTCGAAAGATCCAGGGAAACCCAGTCACATAAGGNACGGTGGTTGAAATATGTGTGTTCCACAGAAGCCTTGATGATGTCAGCGGTCTCTTCGCCCCGTTGAGAAAAAAAAAACCCTCGAAAGATCCAGGGAAACCCAGTCACATAAGGGTTAAAGAAGAAATAAATGGTAGGGCTCGTTCATGATAGGACATATTTTTTGTTTTGGTGCAACACGCAGCAGCGGGCGTGTGTGCTGTTTGTTGGTTCGCACATGCATATGTGTTGCTGAACGCTGCGCGAAGTGTAGTCTAGACTAGACTAAGCAAGCCGATATTTCAGGAGGACGCTTTGTTGTTGTTAGGGCCGTTTTAAGCCCACCTTGGTTTGGAGCTCCATGTAAACTGTCATTGGTGGTGGATTTTTTAATTCACACCCAAAGTCTAAACGAATCCAACAGCTGTTGCACACAAATACAAATGTTCCGTCACCACCGCTTGCAACCGTCGCTTGCGAGCAGCGCTCAGGTGTGTCTACATGCGTTTTTTTTCATGTGCGAGCGCTGTTGCACAGTCAGTAGTACAGCATATGTGTTTTACTGACTGTTCGACTGCCTTTACCCCCGATGCACGCACGTTCTCCCGTGTGTGTTGTAGGTTCCACCCCGCAAGGTACAAAGTCGGGGAAAGCCATCGTCCCAACAGGCATCTAGGTGCCCGGCGCCAGGCGCTCCAACTCGCGAGAAAATACGACGGTGGCGCCAGCATCGGCACCGACGGCCACACCTATCACCCTACCATCATCTACAAAGGCCAGCGTATGCAATGTTGAGAAGCACGATGACCACTAGACTACCAGTCAGCGGCTGACTAGTAGTCTAGTGGTCATTGTGCTTTACAACAAAAGTCAATGCCCGTGTCCGATGTAGCTTCGCAGCCACGAACACGTCCCCCCCCCAGGGTTGCCATCCCTGTGATCAGCGCTGTCTTGCCCGGAAATTGCATCGGTACAAGAGGTACATCGGCTTGCTACTACATCCGTACGCAAGGAAGTAAGCACAAGATGCCGAACACCCTTAGCAGGATGCAGCGCACGAACCCTTCATGCGACTCGCCGAATATCTCACGGCGCTTCGCGCTTGGTGATGTGAGAGCCTGGTCCGGTGAGAACCCGGCGTGCTCCGTCCCGGCTTTGTAGGGATGCGAGGTCAATGGTCTAACGACTACGGCATGCACGACTATGAGTACCCCCCCCCCCCTCCCCCCAACGCTGCACCATTGCACCAACCCTCCACTAGTGATGACGTACCATTACAATGAATCGCTGGTTGATGGCCATGTTTGCGTGTTTGCTTGTCGTTAGTAGTCTCTCCACCGTGTGCCTTTTTCTGTCTCTTATTTCTTGTTATTTTCGGCCTGGTCCCTTTTTGTCCTCGCTCTTGGTGTTTCATTTTCTCTTTACTGTTTCCATTTATTTTCTTCTCTTTTTCTGTGCCAGATGTCCTTGTTTCTGCTTGCGTTGTGAAGTACCAAGATTGAATCAAGGGGGTGTACCTCATTCTCTCCGGCCCGTGATGGTGACCCCTAGTCTCAGTTGTTACCTCGCATAGCGCGCAGAGGGAGTGGAGGACTCCAGAATATCTGTCGTTGATTTCTTTTGACTTGCGGACCCCTCGGGGCCATTTTTTGTGAGTGTACCTTTTTAGGGTAAGTTAGCCCGCGACCACGGGAATCGACCGCGTCGAGTGTTGTATCAGTACGGACATACGGAGGTACTGGGTAGAGAGAGATCGGAACGGTTTTTTATGTGAAGACAACAACAACAACAACAACAACAATGGTGCTCCTCTGTCGCTCCGCTTCTGTCTCTGCAATAGGGTATCATAGGTATCTCAAATGCGAAATAAAACCCTTCCCCTTGTGACAAAAAATCGAGAGGCGGGGACAAGCGATTGTTGCCACAATGAAGGCAAGTGCTTCCGGTACCCTCACAAGGTTTACCTTTCCAGACTTACTTGGTGAGTGCGGAAACTGGCGCATGCACACGAATGTGCACGAACATGCGGCACCCAAACGGCGATTCGCAAGTCTATCTTGTACGAGAAATTCACTCACACAGCCCTCTTGTGCAATCAGCTATCGGCCCTTCCCCTCCGCCGGCCGAGCTTCAGAGTCGCACACAGGACGCCACACTTTACAAAAAAACACAATTCAATGCCCGCCATTTCAATTCGGCAGACAAGAACACTCAATACAAACACAACAACATCGATCGAGCCGAACCGCAATTTCCGGGAAATTCGCGGGTACACTCCACCACCAGCTGGCAACCAGCAAAGAACAAATCACGCTCACCTTTCAACCTCTTGTGGTCGTCTCCCAACGCGGCACTAACGCAAAGGCAATGATGGAGCGCGCAGCACGAGACTACTGTACAACCACAATGTATTGCAACGAAAGCAAGCGAGAAAGACAAATAATTCCGATCCCCGTAGTCTGCGTACTGACCGAACGTACCGCGAGAGATGGAGGCACACCATCGTGTTGAATCGCTATCCTACCGTGCTACAGTACTTTCCCAAGAGGCAAACAAACAAACACCAAACGTTCAAGAGAAAGAGTCAAGGCCAAGCAGTGATGCTGAACATGCGTTCGTTGCTGCCGCAATCCCCTTGATTATCACACCGTGCCGGCTGGGGGGGGAGGGGCTCAGCGACACGGCATTAGTTGGCACGCAGTCGTCTCCGCCATTCCCTCGATCCTCGCCATCATGCCCTGCCAGCCGAGGGCGGTGGAGAACGAGGTCGTCGCTGCCATGCGCACGTGCTGTTCCGAGGCGCGTTCGCTTCCTGCCGCCCACGCGCTGCTCTGCTGTTGTTGTGAAAGCCCCCAGCCACCGGCGAGCGCCACCTTTGCATATCAAAAAAAATGTCGGGACCCAAATGAGCCGGTTGGTATTTCCGGGCGGCAGGCAACGAGTGGGGGAGAGGGAAGTACTTCATGAAAATTGAACTCGCGGTGTGTGGATGGAGCATGCACGCCGCGTTACCCCCTTTGATTGCAAAATAGATCGACAACGTTTAACAAAAATGACACAATCCGACGGAAGTGACTCAAATATTGCGTTCTATCTCGGGCGAACACCTTCAGCAGCCTTGTCTAACGAGTGCGGAGGTACCTCACCAAACAGGGCACGCCTATGTAGAATACTCCGTAAACGTCGATTGGGCAAAGGGTGTCGACAAAAGCATGGGGGCATGTATCCTAACGAGTACCACCCTGCAAGAAGATATAACACACAACCACAGGATATCCTCGTCTCCTCTTCCAAATGCACCCGGGCGGTCGAAAAAGGCACCGCCCACCGGCGCACTAAAAACTAAGTACAAGATCTAACATCGACAAGGATCTACCCCAGTACCCCGTCCCACTGCACATGGCACTGCTTTTGTGAGGGATGCGAGAAATCCCTCCCACATTCGAAGACAAAGAAGTGTTCACCGCACGCGACTTTTTGCTGGGGAAAGCCTAACCCGTCTTCGCGCAAACAATGAATTAGCCCCAAATCACCGCGCCTAACCGCGCGCATTGCTGGTGGAGGCGGCACCGTTCAGAAAGGTGAAGCGCGTGGCACCTATCAAAAGACAATAGAGGGGGGCGCCGTGGACTCACCGCCGTGGTGTCTGGCACGAAGTGGTCGCGAAGGACCTTCCTCCTGACAAGGTCCCTCAGCAGCAGCATCGTCTCTCCGATGGTCAAGAACGACAACTCCGCCTCTCTGAGAGTCAAGTGAAAAAACACACACAAACGGTGTGACAACAACGACGCTGCGTTTTACTTCTACGCTTCAAACAAGATGCAATTTTCACACAGATCTACGGACGGCGGAGGCATAATACGCGTAGGCATAGACAGGCTTGTTGTGGAAGACGCGAGATGCAAATGTAAGAACTCCGAGCATCCCGTCCCGTTCCAACAGACCCTTTGACTGGGGGAGCAGGGAAAAAATCAATAGCTTCACGCGGAGGTGCGAAATTCATTCAACTCTCGCGTCTTGGGGCAAAGAAAGACTTCGCGCTTGGGCAAGGTACACCAGAAAGCTAATATAACTAAACATCTCGTCAAGGATGTGCTACGGCAAGAGCCGGTACAAAAACTAATGGGACGGGCCCATCCAAGGTACTCCATCAAACGAGAATAATTCTGTTCTCGTCCTCGCATCGTTTTATCCGAATACCCATAGCCCGCAGCCGTCACCACCGCCTTGGTCAATCGCTGGGGAAGATGAAGACAAACGCGGAGCCCACCGCCCAAATTACCGCTATGGCAGCGCAGGGCCAGAGGTGACCAGCACACCGATACCGCACTCTCTCAGAGTTGGAGAGAAAGAAAACTTCGACACGGCGACGGTGTCTAAACTTACACTACGGCAACACACATAAGCCATTGCCCGGTACACGCATCAGTGTAAGCCCAAGCGGGTTCCAGCTCAAACTCAAAGCACGGACCAAATACTCCTTCCTCCGCCAAAGATTGAAGGATCGTCAAGCTTCGAGCGGAAACATACAAAAAATGCAATAATCTCTCACGTGGGCCTGGTTTGAGAAAACGGCAGTACCAAAACCAGAGACTAAGCCGAAAACAACAGCAACAACCGCGACCACATACACAGAGCACGGCCACGAAAAGCACTTGCAATTTCGGCGACAACATACACGATCAACTTCACCTGATGCCTGCGGCCAGGCAACCGGGGTTAGATCTGACGTAGGCCACTAGACCCTGCCGGACCCGATTGAGAAACCTTAGGTCTACCTCCCCGTCGAACGTCGTCCAAGGAAACAAAACCTTGCGCTTCACGCCGTCCTTTTCGAAGCGATAGCGAAACCGACGAAACACAGAGAGCAGCATCACCCATGAACAGGCAGACAGCACGCGAAGAGAAGGGGTGGGTGCACAGCGTGAGAGCGGGAGAGAGAGCGGAAACGAGAGAGAGGGAGAGAGAGAGAGAGAGAGAGAGAGAGAGAGAGAGAGACAGAGAGAGACAGAGAGAGACAGAGAGAGACAGAGAGAGAACGCGCACGAGACGAAAGCAGCAAGGAACTATGTAGCTGGCCGCACACCTGCCGCTAAAACATACATCAATACCAGGGTGGAACGCGCAGAGCGCCTGATGCTGACGGAGAGAAAGATGGATGGATAAATACGCATACACACATCGACAGATAGCCAGCCAGACAGAGCAAAACAAGCAGCGCCATGGCATTGCCACCACTCCTACAACCAGAACCTTAACTCTAGTTTAGTGGGCAACACAACTCGGAGTGAGGCTGGGGAGGAAAGAAACCGTTCGATGTGGGAAAGGAGAAGTGCCGAGCAGCACCGCACCGAAGAACACTGGACACCAGCTTCCGTCAAAGCCGAAAGCCCAACAGCTTGGACTCCCCCATACAAATAGAATCTTTGCAGCGAGAGCAAGCTAAGAAACGATGAAACCTCGACTTTCGAACAAGTGTGGTAGGAAACGTCTTCCAAAACCACCACAACAGTTGACAACAAACACAAACCACGATCGAAGCACCTTCAAGGCGAGCCCTGGGCTGCTTGGTGCGGCGGCCGCCGCTGCCGGCTCCGAACTCTTCTTCCCCTTCCCTTTGCCCTTCCAGCCCTTTCTTGTCGCGCTGTCTGAGGCCTCTTCTTCGTCCATGGAATCGGCTTCGACCTCCATCGGGGTAGCGGGTGCTGTGACCGGGGCGGAGGACGTGCCGAACGATCCAGATTCGGCCGTAGGGCCGGGCGGAATCGCCAAAAGACCGCAACTGTCTTCGTGCACGTATCTGGGTATGACAGATCAGGCAAGATCGTTGAGAGCAAAGGAGAGCAACGAAAACAGGCACCGGCCCAAATCGACCGGAACAATGGGAAACATACACCGAGGGGATCGAGACGCGAGAGGTGAGGAAGGGTGTTAAGGTAGAGGGTAGTTCGAACGGTGAGGGATGCATGCGGTAGCACTCAAAGCAGGGAGCACCGTTCTTTTGCTCCACAAAAACCCTTCATCGCATTCTTGCTGCTTGCTGGTGCGCGTCAAGACACTTGCTCCGAGGTGCTCTGATGTAGGCCATTCTCGCACCGCATGGGAAAACGTATTAGAGACGAAGAGATGTTGTCTTAGGTCATGAAGCGGCAATCCACATACTGCCGTTTACCCCAACGATACTAACAGATGAACGGGAAACGGCGCGATAGGCCCGTGACACGCGCGAGCATCACGCAGCTGTCTGCACACCACAAGCGCAGCGCACCTCTTAGCTTCAACGTAAGCCCCGCACGCTGCAAATACTAGTGCAGTGTCAATCCTTCCGCGAGGGCACGCGGCCATGAATGGGTTTCCGCCGTGCCACGAAAAGAGAGAGTGTCCATCAGCTAAAAGCGATCCCGCCCTAGTTGGCGCGCAACCCTGAAGCAAGCACATCACTAACCTCACGTCCCCCGCGCCGCACACGCACAGAACCCCGCTGCTCCGCAGTACGCAGCCGATCACTCCCCGCAGCCGTCGCCACTGCTGCTGCCTCTCGCTCTCCCCCGTAGTCGCGGCAGTGCTCCTCACCGTTACCGTCTTTGCACGGCGTGCGGCACCCCAGAGCTGCGACAGCGTCATCCCTTCCTTCCCGGCCTTCTTCAGCGCTTCCACCACGGCGCTGGTCGCAACTCCGTCATCCTCAGCCGGTGCGGCCCCTTCGCTCGTCGCCGTCGACCCCCACCCCATCTCCGGCGGGAACACATCACGACCACTGCCGCCCTCCATGGCGTGAGCGGGCCAAGGCTCGGCGCTCACGCCACCATCGTCCCGCGGCCTGACTTCCGCGTCTACGGTGGCCATGATGTCGGCATCGATGCACCTGGCGGACCTGTACCTGGTAGCTGTGGCAACGCTTTCCTGCAGGCCCGAGGCGCCGCTGTCCTTCTTGTTGCCGCCAGCGGCGGGACCGGCGACCACCGTTCCTTGCGCCGCTTCGTTCCCGTCGCCCGGTTTCGCCGGGTGCCCCCCTACCACGGCCGTTTCCGCACCTGGGCGCGGTGGCGCGGCTGCTGCTGCCGCCACCGCCGCCACCGCCGCGCCCGATGACGATTGCGGAGGCGTTCCTGCCGCCGGAGCGGCGGCGTCGCTAGCCGTCTTGCCCAGGCTAGTTGCTGGAGGCACTGCGGCGCCAGCAGCCGCGTCGGTAGCCGAGCCGCTACCACCGCCGCCGCCGCTACCGCTACCGCTACCGCTACCGCCGCCAACGTCTCGAACCCCGTCACCCATGCCCATGCCGTCGATGCTGACGCCGAGCTCTAAAGTTGTCGGTCTCGACGCGGGAATTCCCACCGCGAAGCTGGCTCTGCCCGACACCACCGACTCCAGCAGGTTCGATACCATCGTGCGGTTACCTCCGATGTCCTTCACCGCCAAAGAGGCCGGGCGCGCCGCAGGAGGCTGGGGAGCGGTGTAGTCATCTGGACGAGGCGGGCTGCGGGCGGGAGGGAGGCGAGGTTGAATCTTGGCGTCAAGGTAGGGGGAAGCTGGCAAGGATAAAGATACGAACCTATGCTGTGTACCAAACGGTGGCCTCCCACGTCGCTCAAGGAAGTTTCAAGTTGGCGTGCGAGGCTGGTGCCTTGTGCGCCGAACGCCTCATCAACTGTCATCGCTTATTTTTTCTTGAAAATTGACACCTCAAATCCAACAGACAAGCACCCCACGCCGTGCGTGCATGATTCACCTGCACAAGAGCTTCAGCGGCAGCCACATGGGGTTGTCGATAATATTGTTGCTTGGCGTCCTACTCTCGAAGGTAGGGAGAGGGCTCGACCATTCGTCTGTGTTGCAAAGATAAGAAAGAAAACGCACAAGAGAGGGCGTCAGCGGTACAACCTACAACACCAATCAAGACGTAGACGTGATCGCTGGCGGCCTTCGATTTGACGAGCAATCACGACAATGCTGGTTCGGCCCTTCGTACTTTGCCCGCGGGCAATAGTCCAAACGTGGAGCCTGCAAAGCAGCGGGCTGACACGTTGCATCGGTGGCGAAAGAAGGCCGTGAAGATTTTTCCTATAAATCTCTCGAACACTCGAAGGGTTGTCTTGCATACGACAGGCAGACAAGGATAGAGAGGGCGCTCGAACAAACGAACGCTCTGTATTGTCACCGGCGATCCCCAAGGCGTGCAGGCGTCCGGCGGCGACGATTCCCCTCGACACCATGCCCTTGCCGTGCCTGCCGACCATCTTGTACACCTCGTGGTCCACGCTGTCCTGCACCGAGTAGTCGTTCGCCGCCCAGGCAGCCTGGGTAGGGGGGGGAGGGGGGGGTCGCAGCACCGGCCNGGGGGGGGGGGGGGGGGGGGGGGGGGGGGGGGGGGGGGGGGGGGGGGGGGGGGGGGGGGGGTCGCAGCACCGGCCGGGGACGGCAGAAAGACGAAACAAAAACAACAAAAAATCAACAAACAATTGAGAATAGCAAGACAACAGCTACACAAGGGTGACGTATACCGCGTCTCACCAGCAGCAACAGCGGCGGATGCATCACCGGCGTCAAATATTTCCACGGAGGGAAGGGTAAGGTCCTGCTTTTACATATGTTTGGCTTGATTTCGTGCGGTGCGACTGCTGTCTTGCCTTGTTTGGTCCTTCTGGGACGTATGCTGGTAGAAACAAAAAGCGACGCACGATTCATAACTACCCTTTCTTGCATCTATGGAGCTACAACCGAGCGTTGCTGCATCAGAAGAAAAAAAGGGTACCCGACGAGCGGGCCGCGTATTTCATCATCATGACTGGACCGCCTCTGACTCGACAAAAGCCAACAGGGTTGGTTGGACGGTGCCCTGCAGTTGGAGTTTCAACGTACACATCTTAACACGCGCGGTGTCGTACACAGCTAAGGATGTCTGGAGCTTGTTTGGGGCTTCTAGTACAACATCTTGTACAGGTTGTGAAAAGTTCATACTACAGTATATCCTTTGGGTATGTACCCGAACATCATCCTGTTGCACGACACCGCATGGTCCTGAGACTGCACGTACACCACCAGAGATGGATGGCGTCGAATGCGCACAACAGATGTGGACGACGTCACGCGCTCCACACCCCGCCCAAAGGCCCAACTGAGACTAGTCTAATAATTTGATTTCGACTTCAGTTAGCCGCATACTGGTACCCCACTGACCACTGACCTGCGCGATGTCGATCTGCCTCGAGGCCATCAAGGAGCGGTAAGCCTTCTGCAGCGTTGGTGGCCGAAAAACTCGCATCCGCGCCAGTGCTTGGGCCTTGGAGGCGCATCGCGTGTGAACGAAAAACAAGTATGCGGCGTCCCCCGACAAGGGTGCCGGCGATAGGAAATACGGAGCACAAAGTTGGCGAGCATACAGCAGGGTTCGGGTACTGTAGAAGCACGTTGAATAAACGGGCACGTGACGAGGTCACATCTCTCACTGGACAATACTGGGGGTAAGGTTGGGGTTGAGTGAAGCGAAAACACACCGTGTATTTCATAAGAAGCATCGGGACGACGAGGAGACCTTGTGTTTAATTTGAAGAAGCATATCGCAGCGGAACGCGGAAACAAGTCCCGTCGCCGGTACGAAATGCCGCGCGGAAAGAAACAAACGACGGTGAAGTTTATGCAGCGGTTTTTAGCAAAAAAAGTACAATCAGCCGAAGCTGATTCCATTCAAGTCCGGCACCACAACAATAACAAATCTCGCTCGCAGAGCAACGTACGGTCAGGGTTGTATTCGAAACGCGACGGGATTGCGCCGCGGTGTGCCCACGAACAAAACTAGTCAAGGAACACACAAGCCATTCGTAAGAGGGCGTAGATCCCTCGGACCCGCAGCCCAAGCCTACCTTTCAAGCTACTGAACACGCCCTGTCACCACGCCAAGGCAAGACAAGACTCAGGGCGGCGACTCCCCCTGCCCTGCCCCCACCTCTCTCTTTCGTACATACCGGGTTGAAACGGGCCGCCGACACGAGCAGCAGCTGCCTGACTGCGACCAAGGCCTCCAGCTCCTCCGTGGTCCAGGCCCACTTGTCGAAGGGCCGGGGAAGAACGCCGCCGGCACAGCCGTCTTCCTCCCAAGAATTTTCCTCCTGTCCGGCAAACAATAAACATACAAGACACGGTCCCAGGTCAAGAATTTTGAACCTTACTGATGTAAGGCTGGGGTACTTTGATTGGTTAGCGCCGTCGAGGCTGACAACAAAAGGCACGTGGATACATGCCAGCGGCGGCGTTATCGTCTGAGAGTGAGTCTTTTTCCTGCGTTGCCGTTGGTGGCGCGCAGGTCCCGCGTAAGGAATGGGCCATTGGACTAAACAGGGAGAACGGACAGTGCTCGCAGACGAAGACATAAGCTTGTTGCCCTCCATTTTGCTAGAGTCGGCTTGCAAATTCCAGTTGTGGTGAGGCTCGACAGTCTCCTTCTCTTCACATCCCCCTCCCCCCTCCCTTCCTCCTCCTTCATGGTACGACATCCTACGATTCCATCGTATTCGCAAAAGAAAACTGACACCGTAGTGGAGAAAAAAAGTCACGCTATCTTCTCCCACTCACGTTGACCCACTCGAACCCCGCGGCCTTGGCAAGGGCGGCCTCTTCCCTCGCCTTCTTCCTGCTCTCGTTCAATTCGCTCGCTCGGAACTGCAAGTGGCCCAGGTCACTGCTCGAGGAGCGGTGAAGGACAGAGAACGAGAGCGAGCGAGCGAGCGAGACAGCGAGAGGGAGAAAGAGACAGAGAGGAAGCGCGCAACAGGGCAACCACCAGGCCGCTTCTTAACTGTTCGAGTCAGCATAGTTTGACGGTGGTAGGTTCGAAAAGGGCTTCGGAGAGAGGTTTGAGGTGGTAGGGCGCGGTGAATTCGAGAGAGACACCGTAAGGGGAGCCAAAAGAGGAGATGAGAGGGGTGTGGAATTTGCCAAAGTGCTTGCGACAAGAAAGTTGTGCATGCTTACATGCCCGGGGAGACGATAAGGTGTCGGAAAGGGGGTGGCACGGGAATACACCGATCTGCGAAGGGCTAAGCAAGGTGAAACACAATCTGCGTCCACCACCGCGCTTCAGGTAGACCTGGCGGCGAATGCTTATCAAAACCATGGTGTCACGTCAAGTGAAGTATGGTGTGGCGCTACCGTTCACCGTTGAAGTCAGGCGGAGGGAAAATGATGGAAGGGAGCCTTGCAACAAGAAGCACGTGGCACAAACTGGTTGTTGCATGCACAGGTGCATAGACTTGCGGCCCGCGTGTGATTCAACAGCGCAGCACACCATCACACAACATCACTCGGCAGACACAATAATCACACTCACGCCATCATCAGGGGCCCTTGTATGGCCAGCAACCCGGTCCTCCTCCCCTTTCTCTTGTTCTCCTTCTTGCCAGACCCCGACTTGGCCTGGTCGGCATCGTTGCCATCGCCGCCGTCGTCTTCGTTGTCGTGTGGGCGCTTCTTGTTGCGGGTGCGCATGTTGGCCGGCAGGGGCAGAGCTTCGCCATGCGCTGATGGTGGCAGTTGGGGGGGNNGGGGGGGGGGGGGGGGGGGGGGGGGGGGGGGGGGGGGGGGGGAGGGCGGGTCGTACTAATTTTTTGCGTGCCTTAGCGGTTAGACTATTGACCACATGTCTTCGAGAGGACCGAGCATTGTTCCTACAGGACCGATCATCGATGGCCAATCGTTCGGGGGGGGGCTGTAAACGGATACCTGTTTCCCCCAGACCTCAATAAGACCGTCAGACCCCACCGAGAGCGTCAGAAACGGGTACCTAGCGACGAGGGCCAGAAATAAAACCTCGGGCGGTCTGTTACAAACGACCAAACCATCAAGCACTAGACTAGTCTCGATAACCCAGACACTGGCGGCATCGCGCAAAAAGCTGTCTCTTACGGAGTGAATCACCAACACCGTCACAAAAAAAAAAATCCTTGCCCGCAATTGCGGGTGAGAGAATGGAGAATGCCGATCACGTCTACTCGAAAGTCCACTGGTTTCATTCTGCGGGGCCTCCCGCTTGTCGGACAAGTCGAAACAGATGTCATTTTGATATGCGGTGCTCTGCTCTATTTTATTTGATAAACCGCTCCCATCAGATGATCTACAACAACAACTCACCGACAACAGCGATAACAACCACAACATCGTCAGCAACAAGACTACAAGAACGACACCACTACAGCTAGCGCCCGCACTGAGGAACATGGCAGTGAAGAGCCCCGAAAAACTGCAACTCTAAGAACTTGAGCACCCTTTGCGAGCCTGGTCAACAACCCCTACACTCAAACCTATATATCGGCCATTCGTAACATAACCCTATGCATAGGAACAAAGAACCCCACCCCTTGGCAAAACTAGAAGTTCTGAAGTGCGGGCATTGGCAACAGCAGCAGCAGCAGCAACGACAGCAACGACAGCAACAACAACAACAACAACAACAACAACAACAACAACAACAACAACAACAACAACAACCATCCAACAACCATCTTATGTAAAATACTTTACAACTGGTCCCTCGTCCGCGGTCCCTTCTCACCGGCATACTTGGCCTGTTCGTTGGCGATGTTCCTGTACCGCCTCCAGCAGGCCTCGGCCGACTTCCCCACCATGTCAGCCACGGGCTGCACCGCTTGCCGCATCGAGGAGGAGTAACCGTCGCGACCTGGCCCGGATGGCTTGGTGTTGGGGTACCTGGGTTCGTACACAGAGGTGTGCGTGAGTTCGTACATGCATTGTGTACAGCGAGCGCGCGTGAGCCGTTTTTCCATGCGTGTGTTTTCGCTCTTGTTTTTGACAACACGAACCGACCCACACTTACGCCGACCTTTGGATATGGCCGCATTCGTAGTTGTTTCTGTGCCGCAAGCTTCGCCAGCTGAAAGATAGGACGATATCTCTCTCTTTTCGTTTCTGCACATACTTCGTAGTTCTACCGTGTATTGGGTCAGCTCGGTCTGGATCTCGGATACTCGTTTCTGATCGCTTTTCCCCTTGCAAGGGGTCGAACGAGGAAGTAACAAACACAAGTAGGTCACGAAAGCTTCTTAGATGCCACGACACCGACAACACCAACAGAATGCTACGGGGAAACTTCTGATCACGCATTAATTTCCCACAACGAGCGGCTTGGAACAAAGCACAGAAAAATCGATCGACAAAGCATCACCCTCCGGTAAACAGTGGAAGAACCGTTTGCCTCTACTTCAGCGCAACAAGCTCAAATCTATAGACGAGAGAACGCACAGACGGCATTGCACAGTTAAACCGTGTCCCGGTGCGCTAATCCCACTGGGTTTCATGCGTTGGTGTTGCATGAAGGAAACGCCGATGACAACACTCACGTGGGCTTTGGCAGATAGTTCTTCACGGCCAAGATGAGCGCCATGTCCTGCTCCGCCGTCCATCTGTGGTTAGTTAGAAACAGTATGATATTGAGGTGGGTGGGTGGAACAAGATTCGCCAAAGCGTGAATAAACACCTAGCGCCAACTAGCCGCGAAGTCAACTATGGGATGGAAAAGGGCGGGGAAAACATGCGCCAGAGACACAAGAGAACCAAAGTGGATAGAACAGAGGGCACGGCACAACCTGAGGCAGCTTTACTGACCCGGGGGGCGCCAAAGTCGCCTCGCCAACAACGATGAAAGGGGCGCGCGGGGAGAGTCGCGGTGGGGGGCGGTGCTTGCCCGAGTTAGTCTCTCGCCTTTGCAACAACTCACTTCACGACGAGGGACACACAAAGACATCAAGGACGAAAAACGTACCGCCGAGGAACCTCCACAACATTTTTTCACCGGCGGCTGCTGGCTCTGGCGGTCGGTCCCTCAACGGCTGGCGACCCCGTCATCATCCCGCTTTCCCCCAGTCTTTCACCTCTCTACCCGAGACAACATCAACAACAACCAAAAATAGACCCACAGTTTTTTGGCCCAGTGCCACCTGTTGACCTCTTCCTCCTCCTCCGGCTCGTCATCGTCTACCCCCCACTCCTTGGGGTTCGTCAGATACGGCACCTACAAACGAAAGGAAGCGGTACATGCAGGCGTCTCAGCATTGTCAGGCCCCCGAAGTCGTAGGATACTCCCCGCTTGGTGGGTACCATAGCTACAAGCCAAGGCACACGTGGGTTGGTGGTCGGCATTCCGTTCACGCACGTCCGTTTTGTTCAGAAGCAGGATACCCCGCAGAATGAAAATAACAATGTAGGGGGATATTCAAAAGGACAACACTCTCGCCGCTTCAAGGGCGGCTGCTTTTGATAGCAAACAATAGGTTCCCTTCAAGCCTGACGACTATATGCACACCACCACCTACTACACCAAAAACGGCAACAACAACAGCAACAGCAACAGCAACAACAACAACAATAACAACAGCAATAACCGAAAAAGTGGGTGACAGAAAGATACAACCCGCAAAGGCTTAGCCAGCGAGCAGTTCAACGCCCCTATCCTTGCCCTTGCCTTCTTGAGCAGCCACGAGGCTAGCGGGTGCGCCACCTGAGCCACCTCCTCCGTCACCCCGAGAGCCACGTTCATGACGCTATCGTGCTTCGCTAGCTCTTTCGCACGCTGCCCCGTGCCGAAGAACTGAACAAAAAACAAACGGCATCCGGCATGTGCCGCAACACCGCCCCCCCCGCCGTGCCACAAAGTAGCGAGGGGAAAACAAATTGAAACGAGGCACGGAAATAAAAAGCAGAGCCACCGAGAATTAGAACGGAGAGGAGAGCTTCTCGGCAGGGCAAAACAAAAGCGGTCGAGATTTCGATTTCCTGATCTGGGTTTCGACGTATGTAAGGACAACGAGAGGTGCTTTCGGTCAACAACACAAATGAGGGGAAAGAGCCCTGATGCAGCAGAGTGGATATGGACCATTAAAACATTTGCCCCCGCTCAAGAGGTGGTGCATGGGAGGTTTCCTTATCTCTCCGTTACATGGCAGCACGGCATCCTCCAACAGAAAGCACAACACACAACGATGCTAGTACAAAATGCCATCACCCAACTTGTCCATGGCAACATGCGCCGGCGACTCGACGTAGCTCGCTCACCTGACAGGTGTTCCAAAAGTTGCTCCACTGAGCAAGTCTACAATAACAGCATGTGTTGGGAACACAAAAAACATTAACACCTAACCCGCATACACAAAACACGCACATGCACTGCATAGCTCGCTCTCACCTGATACGTGTTCCAAAAGTTGCTCCACTGCATGTGGCCGGGGACCCTCCTCGGTTGCGCCATGTTCTTGTCCTCCGTGTAGATCACCACGTCCACGTGCAGCACGGCCCACCCGAGGCCCATCCTGAACTCCTTCGGCGGAGAGTTCTCGCGCAGGAGGGCCTCCGCCGCCGCGGACCTCGCCTTCTTGTCCCGGCTGATGCCGCGGGTGGTGTCGCGGGCCCCGGGCGTGCGGGAGTACTGCAGGGCGTCCTGCCGCGCCACCCTCGCCGCCTCGACCGCCTTGTGTGTTCGGCGGGCGGGACAGAAACGAACAAGCCTTCATGAACACACACACACACACACTCCGAGGATTTCCACTATCCCCGGAGACTGGAACCGGGCAGGGTGCCAAACCAATTCCTGTGAGCGGGTAGCTAGGGTTTCTGCTCCCTAAGGTTTATGTGGATATCCTGCAAAACGTGCGCCGCAAAACTTCAGGTACGTCGTGTATTCACGTAACAGTAGCCTGTTCAAGAAGTCGGGCAGCTCCTGAATACTAGATGAATCGTCATTTCTCGAAGTGGGCGTGACTGCAGATGTGCGGGGAGCACACGTATTGCCCTCGGAGCTTCGCCGTTTTAGGTTAGGACATCGCGTTTGACGATGCGCGAAGAACGCGTACACCAAGCAAACGACGAGAATCAAACCATGAGCAACAGCAACAGCTCAAAGCAGGAGCAGAGGGAACACACGTAGAGTAAACTACCGAACACCCGAGCAGGATTCACAAAAAGAGAGACCAGCTATCGACAAAACCACCGCCATTGCGCGACTTCGCCTCCAATACCTTGTGGAACTTGTCTATCGCCGCCGAACCGTCGCCCCCTCCGCTGACCGCCACCGCTTTCCCCGTCGTCTCGTCGGTGGAGATCGGAACCACCTGCGCGGTCGCGTGGCGGTAGGCGAACGGGTCTTCGCCGGGCAGGCTTGAGGGCGGCGCTCCCTCCTCGGTGCTTCTGTTGTTGTCGGCCGATCCGCTCGAAGGCGCGGTCGTCGTGGTCACGCCGCCGCTGGCGGAGGAGGAGGAGGAGGAGGACGGGGCTGCCGGGGAGTCCATCTTGGTGAGAATACGCATGTCGTGGAGGATCTGCAGGGTGCTGCCGGCGCACAACACCACGGGCGTCGCGTATTGTCGTGGCGTGAATAGTTTCCGTTGGAAGAGGCGTTTGCCAGGGGGAGGTCGTACGTCAATTGTTTTGGTTGGGAGAGGCGGCGGGGGGTACGACACTGCGCTTCAAACGGAGATGCCGCCAAACGTGGATGGACTAGCTTGTATTCGAGCCCGACCGTAGTTCGTTCTTGGGTTTATTGCGTCCCAAAAACAGAAGGAAAAAAAAACACGCACAACAAAAGCAATACATCCATTCGCCGACTAACCTGATCTTCCTTCAAACTTCGAACCCCATGTGACTATTCGGTGCATCCAATTCATGAACAATGCATCTGATATTTGGCACCAACGCTAAGCGGCGTCTGTCTGTCACTGCTGTCAAGAGACTAGACTACAGAGGCGTTACGTATTACACCGCTGTAGGTCCACACTACTGCTGTATGTACAGGTACGCATGCAACGCAGAGCACCACGTACCAGAGTCTCCTTTTCTCAACCACACACGACACGGGTAGTCATTAAGTAGTTGCCGTATCCTTGTTTTTATCACGAAGGCATGGGACAGGGTAACCAGCTCGCAGTTGCGATAACGGCCGAGTTTCTTTCATACACTTAGAAGAGCGACACACCTCAAGCGACGCCCCCGTCCCGGCGCAAGCAGCATGTCCAAACTTTTTCCATTGAGGTGCGGCACAAAAACGTTGAAGCGGCTCGTGCGCGACAGGTAGCCACCTCGGCGAAGAAGCAGAGCAAGATCACACGCGCTCTCACCTCATTAACGCTTCCTTGTACCACGGGACGGTGCGCATGATTTCCCAGATAGCCCCTGCGGCGGCGGGCGAAACATAACGCAGATCGAGCGAGACATTACGGGAAACGAAACGGAACGGGGAGGGAGGGGAGTAAGCGCGCAGGCAAGGCGGGTGGTGGTGTCGTAACCACAGCACCACAGGAACTTGTATCGCCAATCGTGCTCGCATCTAGACATCGTCGAGAGCTTGCTTTTGACGTGTCGGCCGCCCTTCGCACCCTCTTCGTGCTGTGGAGCAATCGACCTCTCAAATGATCGGTCTAGGGTGGTGTGCCACGACCTGAGTACCTACGGTAACAACCCCCCTCCCCCCGGGCAAATCCAGCACAAAAATTAACGACACGACAAAACTAAACTGAAGCACGTGCTCTCTCCCTTCTCTGCATTTTCGGTCCAAGTTCTCCGGACTGGCGGTTCAGGAGGAAATGACCATAGCGGATGGCCGTAGTCTTGTGTAAGGACCAAGCATGCACGAGCGGCGGCGGCGGCGGCGGTAGCAGAAGGCAGACAGATAAGACAAGAAGCAAGCTCTTACGTGGGGCCTGCCGAATGGTCGCCTTCTTGGCCTCGGCTTTCTTGAGAACCTTGTACATCTCTTTCGAGTGCAGGTAGTTCGGGGGGCAGCCAAACATGGTAATGAAGGTGCTCAGCTGCATGTCGAGTATCACCCTGCAGGCCAAATAAAAGGAATAGAGAGGCGAACAAGGCGACAGAAGCGCTCAGACGACACGAAGAGAGTGCCGCGTGTGTGGAGCGAGACCTGACAGCTGCTGGTGCCTGCTGCTGGCACGAGACTGTGGGCGGCTACCACTGACGAGGACAAGCCTACACAGCACCAACGCAGCTCAAACCAAATTGTTTCCTCTCTTGCTACATTGATCACCACTCGATGTCCCCGCGAGATGTCATCAAACCTCCATCATCACGATGATACCATGTGCCAAGTAGGTGCCAGCGGTGTTGAACGCGACATGATCCGGCTTGATCGAGGTACAATTACCCGTGGGCTTACGTGTGCCTGCTCTCTGGAGCGATTTCATATATTTTCAGACTCGACGCATACGGCACAAGCGCACCTGCACTTGCACCGTTTGTGTTTTTTGGTTCTCTTGTGTGGGCGAGTCTCTCTCCTTCCCTCCTGGCCTCTCTCTCTCTCTCTCACACACACACACACACACACAAACACACTCCCTCTTGCTTACCGGTCTAGGTCGAGCGCGCGAGATCCTACCCTTTGGCCGGGCAGCCTGGTCAAACATCGCAGCAGCTCTCGGTGAAGGATCATGGTGCGCTGCATCTTCCTCTTGTGTATGAGGAAGCGCTCTGGAGACTTGACGCCGTCCCACGAGTACTGCGCGCCGTAGCGCTCCCCCTGTGGCGAAACCGAAAGTGGAAAAGAAGCGTTGATGTCGTCGTCGTCATATGTGGATCGTTGTATTTATTGCTGCTGGTGTTGGCCTCAGTGTCGTTGGCAAGCACCCCACAGGCCTGAACTATGCCTTGTGGGTTCCACCAACTGCGCTCCGCCTGTTGTAGGTGCCCCCGCCACTCGATTGCTAACCCTTGCACAAGTACAGAACTGCTTGTGGTGTGATACGAATGCATGCACACCCCTTGCCGATATAGAAGGTGTCGGTGTCACATCGTACCCCGGGTTTGGAAAGTGACCCCCAGACCGAACAGCACAGTAGCGCATCAAACTGCTGTGCGCGGTACAACTAGCGCCCCACGAGCAGCGGACCAGTGCCGAGCCGCAATGCTGCCGCGCTAAGGCTGACAAACAAACACGCCACAAGGCGCAACCAAGAGTGAGTGTGTGTGTGTGTGTGTGTGTGTGTGTGTGTGTGTGTGAGAGAGAGAGAGAGAGAGAGAGAGAGAGAGAGATACTTCTGCGTACAGCGATACACCAACAAGCAAGCCGACAGTCGGGCAAATTTTTCCATCTATCAGTCAAATGCTTTCCGTGGTCCTCTTGATTGGGATTGCCGTACAGTAAGGCAAAAACACGTAGGGCTGTGACGCAAAGATAAGTAACAATAATACATCGGGGGCACGCGTTTCATACCAACCCTTGAGACTTCATTTCCACTGGATGTTTTGGCTTGCCGATCTGATTGCGGAGGTTGCAAATTCAATCGTGTCATTCCCCGACTGTGATACTGCCATAACGGCGATTTCAACCAATCAAGTTGACAGAAATGCCTCCAAACTGCGTTCCTACTCGGCCAATAGGTGCTTGGAACTTCGGTCACACGGGAAAAAGGTAAATCAATCCTTCGAAGTACAGTTCGTTCACTCGCCAATACTGATTGAACTTTGCAACCAACCACGCCACTACTCCCGCCACGACCGTTTCGATCTCACGATACATGCAGACTTCTAACCCTCGCCGCAATCCACAATACACCGGGCCAACATGATGTTTGAGGTGCTCAGCAGCAGCTGCTGTGAGGTGCTCAATCAACAGCTACCGCTGCTGAGCGTTAAAAAAAGGAAGATTGACTTGCCGCTTTGATTCTGGTGCTCTCTCGATGGACGGCCGCCTCGACGGCGTAGAAGTTCTCGGCGTATTCCGCCAGCGACTCTGGGTCCGTCTTGGCGTCGGGGAGCAGGATCATCTCCCCGTGCCCGAAGGTCTTCATCCGTCCGCGCCTAATTAATAGTACGGTCCGTTGAAAGCATAAATACTATTATCATTGTACGCATCAATTCTAGTTAGCTCTTGTAATCATCATTGTCACCAGTATGATGACACGTATTGTTGAAAATACAACATGTCGTTTTTGTTGTTAACAATACAAGACTTCATTTTTTCCCTTTTGCTGCGTCATTTTCCACTGATTGGTACTGTCGTGAGTTCTTACGTGTTTACTCACCATGCCCAACGCTTGGGTTGTGGAGCAATCGCCGTTTTGATCCTTCCCTCCTGCACCAGCTCGGCGACTACCGTGTCGAGAGTGGCCTTCTGCAGCATAGGTCCTGGCCCTTCAAGCAGCTTGATCAGTTGGATCACCTTCAGCTGCAGTATTGTGTACACCAATGGGAACAGGAGAGGAATTTGGAGCAGCAGCAGCAGCAGCAGCAGCAGCAGTGGTGGCGGCGGCGGCAGAGCACTTATTTCGACCCTCGAAAATCAACCACACTCAACCACAACCGCGTGACGCCTACCACTGCTGCTACGACTGCTGCTGCTGCTGCTGCTGCTGCTTCTGCTACAACGTGCTGTGCTGCTACCTCTGTTGATACTGCTGTTTCTGCACCTGCAGCTCCTGCTGCCGCTGCCGCTGCTGGGCTTGCTACACGCTCCTGCGGCACGGCTACTACAACCAAAAAGCGCGTACCACGGGGATCGACTTGCAGAGCCCCAGTTCGTGCAGCACGAAGGACTTCCGCCTGTCCTTCGGGGTCATCTGGAGCCAGGCCAGTCTCTCGGCCATCGAACACCCTTCCGGCGGGTACATGGGGTTCATCTCGAACTTCAACCGATCGACGACGATCTTGTCCAGGGACTTCGCCGCAGCCGCAGCGGCCGCCTCTGTGAGCAAACGTCAACAGGCGTGCACGCGGCGGCGACACCAAAGCCAACGAACGGCATGTGCCAGAGCATATATTTTGAGGATCCGTCTAACCAAAAAGGAAAAAACGACTCGCGGGGCAAACAAAAAAAAAGCAAAACATATCCGCAAATCAATCCGATTCTCTGCATTTCTACTTCGTTTATTGCCTCGCTTTTCGTAGATTTACGAGCTTATTTTCGTCTTGCGCTTCGTTTTGCATATCCTCAACTTTGCCGAGAAAACAGCTCACAAAACCCCCTTCCTGTGTCGGTAGCTACATATGCAAACGCTAGAGCAAAGCGCACGCTCGCCTTCCGAAGCAGCTCCACGCCGGGATCTAAAAAAAAACGGCCTTGACCCACCTACATAGAATAATACCCTATTGGACCACGTGGAAAAAGAGTTGGGTTGACAAAAAAATCCGCGCCTCTTTTGCTAACCTCTCCTAGATCATTTTTCTTACCGTCCACCTCCCGACCGATGTCGTCCACCATGGCGTCGAGCTCGTCATCGTCGCTCCAGTTCACGTCACCCAGCCCGGCTCCGGCTGCTCCGCCAGCGGCCCCGCCTCCAGCCCCAGCACCATCTGCACTACCACTGCCGCCAATGCCGCTGCCGCCACTGCCGCCGCCGCCGCCGCCGCCGCCGCCCGCGGGAGTCGCTTGCGATGTCACCGTCGTCGCCGTCACAGGAGTTGCCGCGCCTTGGGTCGGGGACGCCTTGGAAGGGGTTGGGATGTCTGTCTTGATGGCGGGTGCTGAGGTGGTGATAGTGGCGGCGGGGCGCTTGGTGTTGCCGCGTCCCAGGAGCTCTTCGTCGTAGAACAGGGCCTGGACCTTGGCGTTTCGCCCCTCCTGGGATGTTTCGGTGGAGTAGGTTTCGAGGAAAGGTAAATAGAAAGCGACACAAGCAAATAGGCACAAAAAGGAATGTATTTCAATCCGAGCCGCTACTTAGCGGTGGAAAGCAACAGAGGATCCAAGGGACGCAAATCTAATCAAGTGGAACACGAGCGAAGCCAGGCGGGGCGAAGGCGTACTAACCCTCGTGTAGCCCTTCCAGATCCCGTAAGCGCTCGGATTCTTCACCAACAAGTCCACGATCTTCACGGCGGGTCGCTTGGAGCAGTGCAGCTGCTGCCTGACGAGCAAGAAGCATGCGACGCAGGCCACCCCCCCCCCCCCCCCCCCC